TATCAAAAATAACATCCTATCACTTATGCCATATTCAATACTGATATATACTTACAGAGCCTACTTAATGTAAGTATTGTATAATATTCTAGCATATGACGAGAGTACAATTATTTTTCTATTGAATATCATTTAGGTTGTTTCCAACTTTGCACTATTATAAAGAATGCTGTAATCAGACCTCCACAGTATACATCCTCTGATGAAAAGGTGTAATTAATTTTTCTAGAGTACGTGTCTTAAAGTGGAATTGCTGGTTGTGAAGTATGTGAAGTATTCATCTTTATAAGATTATCTTAAATTGCTTTCTAAAGTGGTTGTACAGGTCCAGAATCCCTTCTTTGAAATTTTTTGGTCCAGATTTATTCTGAATTTTTGGAATGTAATGTGGTAATATTATAGCATACTCCTAGCAACTATTCTATAGATGGTATCACATAATGAAATGGTAATTCTTTATGGATAGTCACACTAAGAGGAATAAATAAAGACTGTAAGTAGCCTCATGCAGTTCTAATCTGGTTTTGCAGCCAAATGAGTTCCAAAAAACTTTGTTTTCTGAGCTTTTTAGATTTTAGATTTGTACATAAGGGATTGATAACCTGTACCAATTTTCATTCCTATCAGCAATGTATAAAATTTCCCTTCCCCACACTTACTTTATGACTTAGTATTGCTAGACTTTCAAAAATCTTTATATTATGGCAATTTTCATATGTGAATCAAAGTAGAGGTAATAATATAAGAAACCCCATGACTCCATGTATCTGTCATCCAGCCTCAACAGCTATCAGCATAGTCAGTCTTGTCAGTCTTGTCTCATCTATACCCTTTACCACTTCCTCAATCCCCAGTTTTACAGCATATTTCATATATCATATCATTTCATCTGTAATTACTAAAGTATATAGTATATACTAAAGTATATATCTGTAAAAGATAAGAACTCTTTATATATTAATACATATATATACACATTATGTGTGTATGTATATACATACATACATATGTAACAATCCCATTATCACACTTTAAAAGAATTAACAGTAATTTCTTTTTTTTTTTTTTTTGAGACAGAGTCTCACTTTGTTGCCCTGGCTAGAGTGAGTGCCGTGGCTTCAGCCTAGCTCACAGCAACCTCAGACTCCTGGGCTAAAGCAATCCTACTGCCTCAGCCTGCCGAGTAGCTGGGACTACAGGCAGGTGCCACCATGCCCGGCTAATTTTTTTTTTCTATATATTTTTAGCTGTCCAATTAATTTCTTTCTATTTTTGGTAGAGACGGGGTCTTGCTCTTGCTCAGGCTGGTCTCGAACTCCTGAGCACAAACAATCCGCCCACCTCGGCCTCCCAGAGTGCTAGGATTACAGGCGTGAGCCACCGCGCCTGGCCCCAGTAATTTCTTAATGTTATAAAATTTCCAATGTTTATGTTTTCCCATTTTTATCACAGGTTTTTTTTTTCCCCCCATAGGTTTGTTCAAATTCAAATTCAAACAAGGTTCACAGATTGCATTTGGTTAATATAGCTCTTAAATTTGTTTTCCTCTAAAGATTTCTTTCCTTTTTTCCCCCAGTAGTTTGTCCTGTAGTGTTTGCTGTATTCTGGATTTTGCTGATTCCGTCTCTGTGGTGTAGTTTGTATTCTTTTATCTCCTGTATTTCCTAAACCGTTAGGTCTAGAGGCTTGATTAAATGCAGATTTGATTTTTGTATGAATACTTCATAGATGTGCTGTATACTTATTGCTATCTATGTGTCTCTCTATTTGTGGTATTTAGATTGATCAGTGGATCAGTTGTTTTAGAGTATTGTCAAATGTTTTTATTTTTGCCAATGTGAGCAGTGTGCGATAGTATTTTACTATTGTTTTAATTTGCATTTCCCTTTCACTAGTAAAGTTGAACATCTTTTTATTTGTTCATTTACTACTTTTTTTCCCTTTCTGAATTGCTTCTTTATATAGCCTTCGCCTACTTTTCTGTTTGGTTGTTCCTTTATTTTTTATTTTTAACCATTTGTGGTTCTTTATATTCTGTATAGTAGTTCTTTATTATGCGTATTATAAAATGTGTTTCTCAAATTGTTACTTTTCTTTTACTTTTATTTATGGTGTCTTTTAAACAAGTTCTAAATTTTAATGTCAGCTTTTATCAACATTTTTATTAATTATTGGTGGTTTTTATTTTGTATTTTAAAAGTTTGCTGTATCTTGTGGTAGAGTAGAATATTCAGCTTAAAATCTTAAACTCTAGATTTCACATCTACTTATTTACATTATCTCTTGCTATGTAACAAGTTACCCCAAACTTGGTGGCTGAAAACAACAAACATTTATTATCTCACAGTTTCTGTGGGTCAGGAATCCAAGAGCGACTTAGCAAAGTGGTTCTGCCTTGTGTTGTTTCACAAGACTGCAATTAAGGTGTTGACTGGAGCTGTAGTCATCTCACGACTTGACTGGGGGAGGATCTGCTTCCAAACTCACTCATGTGGCAGGCCTTATTCCTTGCCACATGGGCCTTTCCACAGAACTCCCTCACCATGTGGCAGCTGATTTCGCCCAGAGAGAGCAATCCAAGCAAGAGCGAGTACCATCATGGAAGTTACAGTCTTTTTATAACCTAATATCAAAAATAACATCCTATCACTTATGCCATATTCATTAGAAGTAAGTTAATAAGTCCAGCCCATGCTCAAAGGGAGGGGATTACACAGGACATGAATACTAGGAGGCAGGGATCATTGGGGGCCATCTTAGAGGCTGGTTACCGCATTAACAGCCCAAATAGAAATAAGAAAATAAATAATTATAAAAGGAAATAAATTTGTAGATGATATTAATGTTTATTAACTAAATGTAGCATTTACTAATTTCTATTTATAAAGTGGTAGATTTCATTATTATTAAGTCATATGTATGTAAATATCAGTAGACATTCAATCACTGATATTTGCTAATTTCCTTACCATAATTGTGGTACATTTGGTAAATTTTACAATAAACTTTTAAATTTATGTATTTGTACATCTTAAGAGTTACTGATGTGTAATAGAAGGTGTAGATTTTGACATTGCCACCACCAAGTTATTTTTAATATAGTGTCTAGAATAGATGGACACTTGAATTAATACCTGTAGTTGGTTTTGGCCCACAGGGAGTAGAGCTGTGGTAATGGAGTGTCAGTATGGGCCAAGGAGAAAAGGTTTCCAGTTAAAAAAAATCAGTGAGCAGGAAAGCAGGTCCTGTCAGCTCTACAAAGCCACTTGTCCAGCTCGGTAAGCTTTCTTTTCTTTTATTTGTTTTTTATTAAGTACTTATTTCTTAACAGCCAATATGCATATTTTATTAAGTTTAAACAGTGCAAAAAGTATACAGTGAATTCTAAGTTTTCTTTCACCCCTGTTCCCTATGTCTCTCTTTAAGGCGACAACTCTTGATCCGTCTTCCAAAGATATTCCGAGTATATGCATGCATATATGTATACGGAGAGAGAGAGAGAGAGAGATCTCCTCTGCCCCCATAAATGTTGTTGAAGATTTCAGTAAAGCTCACTAGTATTTTTCTTTCCCCAGAGTTAGATAGTAATATACCTTCCTTCCCACTATGAATTCACATGGATTTATTCCCAATCTGAATGCCTATAGTGGTTATCTACCGCACAGGTATGCCACATACTAGTGTAAATGTAGTGACTTATATTTTGCTCTTTTTCCTTCCCAATATATCTCAAAGCTGACTTCATATCTGATATAAAAGCACTGTGCCTTTCTTTTTAATAGCCATATAGTATTCCATTTATGGATGAATTATTTTATTAGTCCTCTAATGATGGACATGTAAGCTATGAAAATTATTCTTTATTATTGCACTCAAAGCTGCAATTAATGACATTCTGCACATTTGGGCACTTGTGCAAGTATAGCACTAAGATAAACTCCTAGAATTAAAATTGCTAGGGCAAAGGTTATATCGTTTTTAAGTGTTGACAAATATTGCAGAGTTGCTTTTTAGAGAGATTTTTACCAATTACCAGCAATGTATGAGACCAATGCAGTAAGTTTTAGATAGAAAGGGGCTACCGAGTAGTCATTGAACTGTATGAGAAGGAAAAATGTGAACCAATGAGATGTTATAATGCCCTTTACATCATGAATATGATTTTTTTAGACTCTGAAAGTATTTTAAGACATTTTTTTAGACATTGAGAGTGTTTTAAATTATTAGGTAAAATAAAAAACTTAAAGATAAAATGTAGTGGTTAGACTTAGTTGATTTTTGAAACATCTTATTTTAGCATCACATCTCATCCTATAAAACTCAGCATTCTCAAGTTTTTAAAGCCTAGTCAGAAGGCTTTTCATATTTAATTTGATAATGTTAATGTTAGACAATATTTAAACCTGACAATGAAACAAAACTTTCAACTGCTTTCTAAATATAAGCAATATAAAAACTTCAGATATAACTTTGGAGAAAACCTCCGTATGTGAAGAAATAATTTTATTCTCCATTATTCTACAAGTACTTTTTGAATATCTACTCTGTGCCCAGAAACTACATTGGGTGCCATAGGAAGCAGGGAGACCAAATGAGGAATAAAAATTTACCTAATCCCAGGAAATTTAAAATATTGTTAGGGTGGATCAGAAAACAAGAAACTAGTAGAGAACATGATGGTATAGTATACATTGTGAAATGTATAGGTTAGCTACTAATAGGTATTTAGAGAAGAAATATATCCATACAAACTCATGGCAGGAAAGAAAGTGCAATTTAACCTGGATGCTGAAGTTTAAATTGAATTTGGATAGGTAGAAAATTAGAGGGAAGATATTGTAGGCTAGGAGAACCCTTTAAATAAAGATATAGAATGATTACACATTGAGAACATGAACTTCACAGGAAAAGAAATTTTATGTTTGAAGTAATAGAAAGTAAGATTAGGTAGATAAATTAGAGTCATAATGGAATGCCTTGAATGTTGTCAAGAAATTTGTGCTTGATTAAAGAGCAGGCATATTCTTTAACAGAGGAATACAAATGTGAAGAATTATTGTGGCATTTATGTATCGAGTGAATTTAAGTAATGAAACGGAGGCACAGAGGCCAGGAAAAAGGCTATTAAAGTAATCCAGACATGAGGTGATTATAGCTTCCAGGAGAATGGAGAGAAATCCAGGAAAAAAAATGTTAAAATCTGTAAACTTAAATATTTTACTCAAGTAATGATTATTGTTAATTTGCTAAGTATTATGCACTGAGAATATGGCATATTTTTTACATAAGCCTCTGAATACTTTCTAGATAAATTGTATTTTCTCTAAACTTAAATGCTTAAACTTCTTGTTGATAAATTGGGTTTTCTTGAGATTATAACATAGTGAAATGCATTTTTCTTTATCTCATATAAAGGATTTACATTAAAAAGGTACAGAAGTTTCCCGAATATAGAGTTCCTACAGACCCCAAAATTGATAAGAAAATAATCAGAATGGAGCAGGAGAAAGCCTTTAACATGCTAAAGAAGAACTTGGTAGATGCTGGTGGTGTTCTTAGGTATGACATTTCTATAGTTCTTTTATTTTCTAAATTAATGAGGTCCATTTGCAAGAATTGTTTTGTAGGAGAAATTATAATTTGGTTTTCCAGTTATCTCATTAAGTAATGGTTTTATAAGGTAGATACCTCACCAGTAGTTTCCTAGGTATTAAATTGATTGGCTACTGTATAAGCCATTGAGTTCATCAGGCAAAGGTTGTAGATAATTCTGACCAAAGAATTATACTATACTGGCTGAGTGCAGTGGCTCATGCCTGTAATCCTATTGTTCTGGGAGGCTGAGGCAGGAGGATCGCTTGAGGCCAGGAGTTCGATACCAACCTGAACAAGAGCAAGAACCCGGTCTCTACCAAAAATAGAAAAAATTAGCCAGGTGTGGCGCATGCCTGCAGTCCCAGCTACTGGGAAGGCTGAGGCAGGAAGATTGCTTGAGCCCAGGAGTTTGAGGTTGCTGTGAGCTATGATCATGCCATCGCACTCTACCTAGGGCAACAGAGCAAGGCTTTGTCTTAAAAAAAAAAAAAAAAAATTATATTATACTATATATGCTGTATACCATGTGGAAGCTTTTCCCCAAAATCACCAATAAATATTTAGCAACATATTTTATTGTATATTTAGTACTTTGATTTAGATACTTATGAGGAGCAGAACTTGCAGCCACATTATATTTTTTAACCCATCTTTGATTACTTATGCAAACAGAAATGAATTCTAAACCCTAAATAAAATTCCATTTCATGCCTTTTATGCTTCAGGTTTTACATAAGAAGAAATAGTAGCTTTCTCTTTTACTTTCCTTTATGTGTCAGTCCAGGTGAAGAATTTGCTGTTGTATAATGGGATTAAGTGTATGGAATATAGTTTTTGTGTGATCTTTAAAAAAAACCTTTAGTTATATGAAAAATCAATTGAGTCAATAATTAAATCCTTCAGTTTGGAGAACATTGTGTATAATTTCTAAGTAGGCTCCAATTCATGCAATATCATTGTAACAATTTTGTACAAAAGTACCAATTAAAGCAGTTTCCTACCAGATCAGTTCATTTTCCCAGCATCTGTTTTTTTGCACTGCTCTCGAAGAGATCTGTGTTCACCTTTAGTTTATTCTCTTGCTCATTGGGCGAACAGGGGCTGGGAGTGCTCTAGAGGCAGTATGTTGAGCTCATGTGAGGGAAGATTCTCCCATATAGCTCTAAATTGCATATCTTCTCCGGTTGGAAGGATGATAGGTGCAACAGAGAAGTGTAGTTTGGGACAGCAGTGTGATGGATAGGAAAATGTGCAATTTAAAAGATGATTTACAATGTTGTCTCTTTATTTTTGAGGTAAAATTTCCTTAATGTGAAATTTAAAATACCATTTTTATATATATACTTAAATCCCTGTATCTCCCTCAACTTTAGGGCCACAGTGAGTCTATAAAGGTTTATAAATATTTTTATTTAATTGGGTATAAAGCAGATCTTATTAGAGTTAAGCAGAGGTCATTTTAGATTTTGTTTAATATGGTATAATCATATATAATTTGTTCTTAAAAAATTATAAGTACTCACCTAAGTAATTGTGATTCCTGCCTTTGCCTAATATTAAATAATTTTAATATTTAAATGTTAATAATTTTAAATATTTTCTCTTATCAGGTGGTATGTACAGTTACCTACACAGCAAGCTCATCAGTATCATGAATTGGAGACTCCCTGCCTCCCTTTGTCACCTTCCCCTTTTCCTGTGTCTTCTCTTGAAGAAGAAACTACAGTTAGAGATGAGAATTGTGCATTACCCTCACGTTTACATCCTCAAGTCGCACATAAGATTCAAGAATTAGTATCACAGGGAATAGAACAAGTGTATGCAGTAAGGAAACAGCTAAGGTACTTTTACATTTTTCATTTTCATTTGTTGGTTTAAATAATACACTAAACAGTGTAGATATTTTCCTGGATATATGCTACCAGAATAGATAAGGAACACAATTTATTAATTTATTTAAATAATCTTTTTTATGAACTGATCATTTTGCATCAATTGCTTGGCATAATATGGTATGATATGGTTTATTATAATTCTAATTAGTCATTTGAGATATTCCGTATTCGGTTATGGCAAATTATGATATATAAATTGAATTATTTAATAAATACCTTTAGAGAAAAAAAATTTTATAGAACCAAAGATTTTAAAACCCAGGCCAAGGTACTTACTTCAAACTATTTGAAATGCAATTACATTTTATTACAATAAAAGAATTTGAATAGTTCTTTATCTAATGAAATTTTATTTATAGTACTCTGGTCTAATTTTATTGATCCTCAGGAAGCAATAATAATTATATGATCATTAGCATCATCATCATTGTTATGTGGTACTTTCTATGTGTGTGCCAGGTATTGTGCCAAGTTCTTTACAAACATGATCTCATTTAGTCTTATAACAGCTCTATAAAGTTGGTATATTTATTTCAATTCTACACATGAAAAAATTGAGACTCAGAATGGTTAAATAATTGGCTTACGAGGCAGAAGCAATCCTAGATATGAGTCCTTTGTCAGAAATGTGGTTTGCCCCTTCCATTCACTGAGAGAAAACAGCTTATAATGAATATTTAGGAAAGCATGTTTACATTTGCCTTTCATAGCTACATTTGTAAACTCATGTAATACAAATCAATGGAGAAAGAACCATGTTCTAATAAAATATTTTCAGTTTGCTGAAAAAAAAGAGGCAGAAGCAGAACTGAAATTTAGGCCTAACTCTGTAACCTGTGCTCATTGTTATGATTTCTGGTACTTAATCTTGCTCTTACTGGTTATTATGTAATCTGATCTGAACAACAAAATGAGTATAGTAAGATCTCTTTTAAAGTCATCAGTAGGTTCTTAGAAACTGCTACTTAGTGAAATGACATACAGCAGGCGCACATATAACATTGTTTTGTTCAACATCTTTTCATTCAAAGTTATTATAGTGGCAATGAGAAAAAAATGATTTCAAGTCCTTTTGCTTAAGGTTGCAGTTTCTGAGAACCCATCAATGACATTAAGTGAGGACTTACTGTAATTCCCAGTATTAATATTATTCCTTAATTAATACATGACTTTTCTATTTAGCAGCTTTCTTAAACATTTTATATTTATTTCCACTGGAGCATTGTTAGAACAAAGCCAAAGTATGGTAAAGCCATTCATTATTTATTATACCTGAATCTTAAGAACAGAAGTATAATACAGCTCTGTGATTTGCTCCACCGAATATAATGCACAAAGCATATATACATATTAAACTTTATCATTTCTTTCATGTATTTATTTTTTACAATTATGTAGCAATGCCGCCTTCCATTTCTATCTTTTTTCTACTTATAAAATTCACACCCATCATATTTCATATAATATTAATTGGTGCCTTTGGAAGCAGTATAACATGATATTTATGCCCATAATGTGGGTATAGGCCCAAACTCTCTTACTTAATAGATAGGTATATAACTTTGAGCAAATTATTTAACTTCTGCAGTCCTCAGTTCCTTCATCTGTGAAGTGGGAATGTTAATTTTACCTATGCCACAGGATCATAGTAAGGGTTAAAGGAGATATTTGGTGTGAAGTGTTCCATACAGGACCTGAGATAGTAAGCATTAAAAACATTATTATACTTCATTCTGGGAGGCCAAGGCGGGTGGATCGTTTGAGCTCAGGAGTTCAAGACCAGCCTGAGCAAGAGCGAGACCCCGTCTCTACTAAAAATAAAAAGAAATTAGCTGGACAACTAAAAATATATAGAAAAAATTAGCCGGGCATGGTGGTGCATGCCTGTAATCCCAGTTACTCGGGAGGCTGAGGCAGAAGGATCGCTTGAGCCCAGGAGTTTGAGGTTGCTGTGAGCTAGGCTTATGCCACTGCACTCTACTCAGGGCAGTAGAGTGAGACTCTGTCTCAAAAAAAAAAAAAAAAAATTATTATACTTAAACTGAAAATAATGATTTCATTCCATCCATGAAAGTGTCAAAGCTCACTCTAATATATTTAGGTGTTTAACCAATGAAAATATTACATTTCTATAATCTGCATGAATTCTATGATTTAATATATGGTAAAAATAAAAGTGGGAAAATATAAATTACTTATGGAGCTATAAACCATACTTTACAAAAGTTTATGCTACAAAAGACTCTTCTCTCTTTTGATCTAAAAGTATATTGCTAAATGGTTTATGTTTTTATTTTATATTTTCCACAGAAAGTTTGTGGAAAGGGAAATGTTCAAAGCTGATGAGGTACCTGAAAGACATAATTTATCTTTTTTTCCAACTGTAAATGATATCAAAAATCACATCCATGAGGTACAGAAATCCTTGAGAAATGGAGATACAGTATATAACTCAGAGATTATTCCAGCAACGGTATGATTACAACCACAATTCCTTGTTTTATTACAAAATCTTTCTCAGCTTCTGATAATATTTGGGCTAATAGGGAAGGCTACTATTAGGCCATCTGAATAACTGTGATATAAGAAAAGCTAGTGGCATCTTTTTCTTAAAATGTAAATACTATGAACTCTCAGATAATGACTAAAAATTTTTATTACTCTTACAAGAAGAAAAATTAGTGAATTTCCAACTCTGACTCTAATAAAAACAACAATCTTTTTAAAATCAACATATTTTTTCTCTGTAAAAATTATTTCTTATTCCTTTGACAGATATTTATTGAGTACATACTGTATATATATATATATCCCCCTTTTTTAAATAGATGGTCAGGTTTAATTGTTCATACTTGAACACTGAAAGTGATGATGTTGGTTCTATATGCTATCTATGGATATCAGTTTTACCTCATATTTTGATACTGTAGTTTTCCCCTAAATATTAGTTATTTCTATGAAAGTTTTGCCTACTCTGAAGAGATTACTATAATTACCAAGAAACTGCTAATTACAATCCAGGCAGTGGTTATGGTATTAAAATCTAAGGAGCAATATCCTTTGCTCTCCTAACTTTTACTATCCAAATTTAGTAACTGAATAAATTTTGATTTTTTTAAAAGTTAGAACTACTATTCCTTGCTATCTGTAACTCTTAATTATCACTATCTAGAATCCAGAAATTAAAACAGATTTGGTTGGCAATGCTCCTTTGACATCTACACTTGCTATCCATATTCTTGCTCTCTTAACTCAAGAACCTAATGTATTTGGATAGTAAAGTATACTTGTGCTTTGAGAATGTGAACAAGTGAAGAGAATAATTACAGAATATGGTAAAATTATTCTATTAATGAAGAAAATGTGACAGTTGCATTGATTTTTTTTAATATAAATGCTTTTTTTTACTGAAATAAATGTTTCCATTTCAGCTTCAGTGGACTACAGACAGTGGGAATATTCTCAGAGAAACTGTGACAGTTACATTTGCAGAAGGTAGATTATCTTAAATACCTTTAAAATATAAAATCAAACAGTGTTAAAACTGAAAGGAACTTGAGATATTATCTCCTCTAAATAAATTTTATAGATGAGGAAACCAGGACCTAAAGAAGCAAGAGCAACTATATTAGGAATTATCAAAATATTTCCTGCTTTTAAAATTTCCTTTTATACTCAGCTTTTTTGCTTTTTTATGACTGAAATTTTGAAGCTGATTACTAGCACAGGGAACTAGAAGGCTGGCTAATTCCTGTAGTAATAACCATACGATACCTTGATTTGGGGACTATTGTCCATTTTGTACAGTTTGCTTTTTTTCCATTATGTTCTTACTCCTCTATTCTCTCAATATTCCAAGCTTATTTTGACCCTTATACACCTGTTCTCCCTTCTGGAAATGTCTTTTTTCTTCTGCATGGCAAACTTTTCTTATTCCTCAAATAGTAATCTCTTTTCCTCTCTTAACTTCACCTCCTATATAAAGTAAGCTATTCATTCTTTTGTAATTACCTCTGCGTTTAACATGGTAACCTTTTGTTTAGGTGTCTGTATCTTTCATTATGGTTTGAGTCAGGGGCAAGGATTATATTTTATTCAAATTAATATACCTAGTACGTAGCATAGTAACTGCTAGAAAGTTAACACCTTAGCTGGGTGCAGTGGCTCACACCTGTAATCCTAGAGCTTTGGGAGGCCAAGGCAGGAGGATTGCTTGAGGCCAGGAGTTGAAGACCCCATCTCTACAAAAAAATATAAAAATTAGCCAGGTGTGTTGGCATGCGCCTGTAGTTACAGCTACTTGGGAGGCTGAGGCAGGAGGATGACTTGAGCTCAGGAGTTTGAGGTTGCCGTGAGCTGTGAT